CGATTGTGTGAGTGTGTTAGTGTGTTGGGAGTGTGTGAGTGTGTGTGTGTGTGTGCGCGTGGGTGTGCGAGTGTGCGAGTGTGCGAGTGTGTGTGCGTGTGCGCGTGCGTGCGAGCGTGCGCGCGTGCGTTGGCGCGTCCGCGCGCGCGCGCGTTTGCGCGCGCGTGGCCGCCAGGCGCCGAGGCTCGACTCTCGATCCTCGGGCCACAAGCCCGAGATCTTCGAGTCTCAGCCTCGCGATCCCCGGATCTAGGATCCGAAGTCCCCGCCGATGCTCATGCCCAAGATCTCGGATCCTCTATCCGAAGATGAAGGATGCAGCCTGCTCGATGGCAGTCCGGGCGCCCGAGGACGGCGACGAGGGACATCGACAATCGCTGAGGCTCGACCCTCGAGCCTCGGACGTCGAGCCCGAGATCTTCGAGTCCGAGCGCTGCGACCCTCGGATCTACGACCCAAGGCGCTCAGAGATGCTTGGAACTAAGATCTCGGATCCTCGATCCGAGGACGGGGGGTCGAGCTTCTTCGATGGCGGCCTGGGCGCCCGAGGGCGGCGAGGGGGGCGACCCGCCAACTATCGCCGAGGCTCGGCCCTCGAGCCTCGAATGTCGAGCCCGAGATCTTCGAATCCAAGCGCTGCGACCCTCGGATCTCGGGCCCAAGGCGCCCAGAGACGCACGGAACCAAGATCTCAGATCTTTGATCCGAGGATGGAGGATCGAGCCTCCTCGATGGCGGTCTGAGCGCCCGAGGACGGCGACGAGGGCGATCAATCATCGCCGAGGCTCGACGCTCGATCCTCGGATCGCGAGCCCGAGATCTTCGAGTCTAAGCTCAGCGGCCCTCGGCCCTGGGATCCAAGGCGCTCGAAGATGCTTGGAACCAAGATCTCGGATCCTCGATCCGAGGATCGAGCCACCACGATGGCGGCCTAGGCCTGACGACGGCGACGGCGACGATGGAGGATCGCCGAGGCTCGGCCCCAGAGCCTCGGATGTAAACCCGACATCTTCGAGTCTCAGCCTGGCGATCCTCGGATCTAGGATCCAAAGTGCTCGAATATGCTCTGGCTCAGGATCTCGGGCCCCCGATCCGAGGATGGGGGATCGAGCCCGCGCGATTGCTCGCCGCTTGATCGAGGATCACTCGGCGAGAGGGGGGAGAAGCACCCCGCAGCTTGGAACGCCTCCGCGCGTGCTCGAACGCTCTCCTGGAGCTTGAAAAGCAGATGAGGCTCGAGCGCGTGCCTCGAAACGGCGCCCTCGCAGCGGAAGGCGCGGGGGCGCTTGGCCCGGGGCGCTCGCGCGCCAGGCTCTCAAGCGTTCACGAACATGAACTTGTAGTCGGCGGTCTCGGGCTCGGCCTTCGCGTCGGCCCGGCTCCTCTCGGGCTCGCGCTTGCCCATGGCGACCTTGTCGCACTCGGCGTGGATCTTGGCGAAGTTCTCGAAATTCAGCTTGATGTGCCGGTCAGGAAGCGTTGTCTCGATCCCCTGCTGCTTGACGGTGCTTGAGTGGCCCAGCTTGGAGCGCATGTCCTGGTAGCTCCGCTCCAGGAGCTCGCGCGTCATGTCGGCTGTCCTCTTGGCGCTCCAGCGCCACTTGACGCCCGCTTGCGCGGTGACCTTGGCGGCCCCTTCACGGCTCGAGACCGCGCCGTTCTCGCGGCACCGAATGGCGCAGCGCTGGGCCTCGGTCGAAATCAACTCGAAGAGCTGCTCGGCATTCACGCCGGAAGCCCCCTTCCCCTACACGCGCACACTTCTCGACGGGCTCGAACTTCTTGTTGATCGGCACTACTAGGTCGCGGAAGTGGAAGAGCTCGGCCGGGATGTCGGGGAGGGCCTTGCCGACGCGCTCGGCGTAGGAGCCGCGGGTGAGGCTCTTGACGCTCTCGGCGCCGAGCTCGGCGTCCTTCTTCTTGACAGGCTCGCGCATCCTGGCCTTGAAGCTCGGCATGAGATAGAAGAGGTTCTCGGGTGGCTCTCCGCGGTTCGAAGATGTCGCAGACGTGCTCGTCCTTCTCACAATAGGTCTTGTAGAGCAACGCCACGGCCAGCTCGATGCGCCTCTTGTCCTTCTCGTCGAAGATGCGGCCAAGCTCGATGCTCTTGGGGGACCCACCGCGGTAGACCATCTCGAGGACGGCATGCTGGGCGCTGCCTGACCACGAGGCGCTCTCGGCTTTGAAAGAGCAGACCGCCACCCTCGCTGCATCCGTGCCTTGCGCGCTCGAATGGCACAGGCGCAGCTCGGCGATCGCGATCTTGTCGGCGATGAACGAGAGCTGGTCGAGGATGGCACCGTTCTGCTCGGTCATGCACTCGAAGATACGGTGCGAGTTCGGGCTCGCGCTCTGGGCCACCACCTGCTTGAGGGCCTCGACGGGGAGGCTCGCCGCCGCGGCGCGCTCGGCGGCCTGGGACATGGCTGAGGCTCGCGACGCACTCAGGGTCAACGATGTGGGGGGGGGAGGGGGGGATAAGCAGTGGGGGGGAACATCGGCCTGGAATCGGCGATGCATCGCCGATGCGTCGGCGATGCGCGCCCGATCGTGAGTCCGCACGTTCCCGGGCAGGTTCGGCATGCCTATCCCCCCCTCATTGCTGCCCCTGGGGCGAAGAAGCTCGGCGCCTCGAAGAGGCTCGAAAGCGTGGAGTCTCGGAGGCTCGGGGAAGCTCGGGCCTGGGCAGCTGCGGGGGTAGAGTAGGAGGATGACGAGGAGGAGGAGGAGGAAGGGCCACGAACCGTGGGAGGGATGCGCTAAAAAGAAACAAAGTAACTCCAATGCTGCGCCTGCTCGAAAAATGCATGTACAATCAAAACCCAATGGGTCCCCGTGGCCCTGCCTCACATTCCTGACTCGGTAACGGCTGAGCAAGTGAGAATCCCACGGCCTTGCCGCACGTTCGTAACGTGGACAAACTGAACTGGTGAGAATCCCACAGCCCTGCCACACGCTCGTGATTGCGGACGCTGGTGTGGTGAGACCACCATGGCCATGCCCAGCTTTTTTGATACTGTTGCTAATCAACACGAGATGATAGCAACTTCGATTCGCAACTTCCCCCGTGGATTATAAAGTTCGGCCTCCGCGACTATGTCCACAATTTAATCTCGTTGACGGGGATAATAAAAATAGAAGGGGGAAGGGGGGTAGGCTTTATTATCGCCCGCACGCGGTTACCAAATTCGTGCAACTGCGGCGGGATAACTGTTACAAGAATGCTTCAGAGAGCGCCGAGTGCCCAGAAAAAATCGCTTCACCACTGCGCAAGAGGGCCTCACGCCCCCAAAAAGGCCATTAGACAGCCCAAAAAGGCCCGGGAAGGCCCCAACAGGCCACACCTTACGACGACCAACAAGTTCCCAAGGCGACCTCGGGGAGCCCCGAGATGGCCGACGAGCGCCCCCTCAAAAAGTCGGCGGCGAGCCAAGGGGGCAGGCCCCGCAGAAGGCTCGGAAGTCCTCCGGCCCTCTGAGAAATATTCTGAACCATCTCCGGCAACGCAGAAAACTTCTCTGAAGGTCGGAGGGCCTCTGAGCAGCCCCGCCGGCTTCTGAGAATGCGTTCCCCCTCTCACTCCCCTCCCAGGCGTGCAGCCGAAAGTGGCGCCAAAGCGGTCCGAAACGGGCCCCGCGAGAGCCACGGACGGCCTAAAGAAAGAGGCCGCCAAGAAGGCCACTGACTCCCGCAGACCAGCCCGCGGAGCCCCAAGAGGCGCCGAGATGCCCTGTAGAGGCCCCCGAAGAGGGCCTGCGTTTCGGCAGCAGGGGCGATGACTCGCTGGAGGCGTTTTCCATATAATATGTGACGCTGTGCCGTGCCGTGACTCGGCAGCGAGCGAGGGGGGGAAGTGAGAAGGAGAAAGCCTTCTCAGAAGGTTCGGAAGTCCCCCGGCTTTCTGAGCAGTTTTCTAAGCCTTCCCCGAAGACAAACAAAAATCGTCTCAAAGGCGCGAGGGCTTCTGAGAAGTCAGCCATCTTTTCAGTTCCCCCCCGGGCGCGCCGCCGCACTTGGTTTTTGGATCATATCTCGGGTCTCCGGCGGCCGATCGGGAAGATCCCGGCACCCCCGGAACGCCCCAGCGAAGCGCAACTGCTGGCAAGCATCCCGAGGCTAGAAAACCGCCGTGAACCGACGACAGCGTCCAAAAACCTGGAACCTCGAACCCGACCTCGCTCGCACCCGAGGGACTTCCTGCGTGGGCCAGGCGTGTTCCACAGATCCCGAGACGGCACTGAAACTTTGGCTGGGTGCGCCGAAGGTGGCGGGGGGGCCAGGAAGTTCGAGTAGGGATCGACTTCCGAATTGATTTGCCCCAAAATTGATTGTTCCACCGAATCCCATTCCAACGCATGGAATGCTACGTATATCTACTGAATATTGTGGGTCTTGTTTTTCAGACTCTGTAGTCGATTTCCTACTCGAGAGAAGTATGGGGGGACTGGCGCACCATGGCACGAGGCATGCGCGCCGCCGAGGGGGGGGTGCAGGGCCTCAGTCCACATCCCCAGGAGAGCCCAGAGTCTAATCGAACAATCGGATCGGCGATCGAGTTAATCGGCACGGCGGAAATCGGCAGCCGAGTCGGGAGAAGTCGAACTGGCGGACATCGCCATGCCAGTGCGCCTCCAACGGAGCCAAAATCAGAATCCCAAGTCGAATCAAATCGGAATCGCAAGCCATCGAAGTCGAATCGAAGCGAATCGGAGGAATCGAAACGAGCCCTGCAACCCCCTCTTAGACGCCCCCGATCTTGCGCGAGCGGAGCCTGGCACCCCTGGAGCTTGGGGCGCGGCAGCGCTTGGGACGCATAAGGACATGCTGACACTAGATGTTCTCCTGGGAGGCGCGCGTCCGACCCGAATACATAGTATACCCATCTTGTAGTATTGGACAGGCGCGCATCACTACTCGCAAATCAACTACTCGCAAATTGCCTGGATCCGCCGCGGGGGATTTACGATATGTTACATCGAGGAAGACATGTTTTTGTTCAGACGCTTGCGAGCAGGCACTCTGCGAGTAGTGGAACGAGCTCGGCGATGTATGTCGTTTCCCGAACGGTTTGGCCAGAAAGCGCCTGCCACGACGCATACACTGCAAGGCTTCTCGGGGCGCGCGTCGCCCCCGGGAGGGCGACGCACAGGTAATATCACGATGCTGGGGTGACGCCGAGCATTCCCTCTTTCCGGCACCACCGTGTTCTCACCGCCGCTCGGCAAGAGCCCGCTCGTCCTCGCCGACCCAGGCGCTGCACGCCTGCGAGGCCGCCTGCACCAGGAGCGATGCCGCGTCGTCGTGTGAGGGTGGCAGCGCGAGCACGGGCCGCGAGCCCGCACCCGCCGCTGCCCGCAAGTTCGCTGCACATGCCTGCGAAGCCGGCCGCTCTGGAGACATCACCGCCTCGTCGGGAAGCCGCGGAGCTGCGAGCACCGGCCTCGGGTCCAGGCCCTCACCTGCCGAAAAAGCCCGCGCCCCCGAAAACGAGAACATGGATTGAACATCCTCTGGCCACGTTCTTCTCGCTGCAACTGGGCACAAACGGCCCAACCACTCAACAACGACATTCCGCACATCCCACCTCTCGTCCCACAAATGGTGGCGTTGCATCTTTGCAAACGGATCCCCTTCCATTTCAAGCAGCGTCACCTGCCTGAAGATCGCAAGAACGACTTGTGCACCAGCCGCGCGACACACCTTGGCCGACTGTTCGGCACAAGCTACGTTCACCATGGGGTCCTTGTCACCATGAACCAGGAGCACGGGCCGTTGACCTACATGTGCAAGACCCTCGACTCCCGATGCCTGACCTGCCACGATGATCATTCCACATATCGCGTCCGAAAAATCAATCAAAACGTCCGCAATCGCGGCGGATCCCATCGAGAAGCCTGTCTAGAGGACCGAAACACTGCATGAAGATACACTGTCGGAGGTCCGCGCGAATCTCTTGGGACAGCGATGCCCCCCCCTTCCCCAGCGCGCTCCGCGTGCTGGGGGAAGCGCCGGCGTCGCCGCAGCGGGTGGCCAGGAGGATGGTCAAGCGCCGACCCGCCAAAACCGAGCGAACCTCCGAAAGTGTATGCAGAGCCGTCTTCTGGTCCCCGATGCCAGCACGATGCGACCCCTCGATGTGGGGTGGGCCTGGAGTAGCCACCGCAGCGCGCCCCGTAGGACTGCGCGCGCCACGTCGAGCCGGTGCCCCGTGTCCAGCAGCAGAAAAGATGTGTTGCCCGCGCGCTCCTCACAGAGGCGGTGCCACAGACCAGAGGGTAGAAAACCAAAGAGCTCCAGTACAGTGGAGGCCCAGTCCACAAGAAACCTTCCACAACAAACTCAACCCTGAGACCCCAGGACGCCCATCGATATTTGGTGTGGGAACGTCACGCTTCCCATGGCAAAACCATCGAGGCGCAAGAAACCCAGGGCACCCTGGAGGCAAGCAGGGTGTTTCTTGGCATGGTCCTCCACAATACGCCATCGGAGAATGCAGTTGGGCATTTGCCAAGGTTCTCGTTACAGCCTCAGCGTGCCGACGCCCACCACCGTCGCGCCCTCTGCGCGTCTTCTGCGAGCCGACGGGCGTCGGCACGCATGGCGCGTTGCGTAACTGCGGGTAGAAACCATCATCGCTATGTCCCATTGTTTTCGCCGATGGCGTAGACTGTCTGAGACCCGCTCGGGCTGCTCGGGTCGGCGCTGGACCTCCCTTCCCACACGCCGAGGAGGCGCCTGGGGCGAGGCCACACCCGCGCGAACCGCACACTGGGAGGGGGGGTGCGGGGAAGCAGCGCCCAGCGCAGACCCGGGACATCCGGTGCAGCTGTTTGGTATTCTGGATGGGCCGTCGTCGCCACCATAGATCCCGCCTGCGTTGACAAAGACCGCATCCGCCGCCTCCCCCGCTGCAGCCGGCAGCCACACCGCCGATGCCGGGAGGGTGTCGGAGGCGGCGGGCGGCGGGAACAGCCGGCGCACCGCATCGGCGTCCGGGGCCCCCGCCGCATGTCGCGACGCGTGCCACTCGGCGTGCCGAGCGATGAGATCTCGGCGGTACAGAGCCCAAGTTCCCACAGGCCCCTGGAAGAGAGAGGGAGCACGAGCACGGTGCATGCTTGACACGAAAACGGCTGGGGGACAGAGAGACGTTTGGGTGCCGAGCCGACCTGCGCGCGCTCTGAACTCAGGGAGGGGGAACCCACTGCAAAAGAGAGAGGGGGAGAGAAGCAGAGAGCGACATATAGAGAAAGAGAGAGAGAGAGAGAGAAAAATAGAGAGTGCGTGCATGGTGCTCCATTGAAAAAACACGTCATGGATCCTGGGTTCAGACGTGTGTTTCTCCGACCGTTGCGCCGAACGTCATGGTTCGTGATGTATGAAGCTGCCACCAACGCACCGTCTCGAATTCTGCAGCTGGGCGCTACGATACATACACAAACGACTCATGTCTCAAAGTCTACAGCTATGCACTACGATACATATACAAACGTGTGTACAGTGTACATTGGCATACATGTAATTGTTTGCTAGCCAATACGGACTCCAATCAGTACGTTTCTAGCAATATCAGTTGGGCAATATACGTGGAGAACAGATGTGGTACAATATACGCGGCGCAATGTGTGTAGTGCAATGTTAACGGTGCGCTATATGTTTTGCGGCCTAGGTTATGCAACCTATGGTGCGCGATCTACTTTGTGCAATACACATCCAGATGTATGTACATATATAGTTGTGTAAATGTATGAAATTATATGTGCGGTACAACTCTTGTTCGACAATATATACAACAACATACACACACGGTCTTCGAGGGACCCGATGCGCAGAAGTATCGGTTCAAGTAGCCAAAGTAACCTCCAGACGGCTCAAAAGGTTTCCAAAACGCCCCAAGAGGTCTCCAAGAGGACTTCCACGACGGCCCCACGGGGCAAAAAACGTAGATTTCCCACAGGGGTTAGAAAGATGTCAGCATTCTCGCCTTGTCAGCTTCCCGACGCTCGAAGACAGGCCAAGAGGCCTCCAAAACCGCCCCAGGATGGCGTACGAGGCCTCCAAGAAAGCTGCACAACTACCCAAGAGGGCCCCAAGACCGCCCAAGAGGCCTCCAAAACAGCCGAGGAGGCCACCAAGACGGCTCCAAGAGGGAGCCCAAACGGGGGACCCGAACGGACATTTCGAAAGCCCACAGAGGCCCCTCAGAAGACCCCCGAAAGCCCCCAAGAGGCCCCCAAGAGACCCCCAGGAAGCCCCAAGAGCCCCCCCGAGGCTCCCAAGCAGATCCCAAGAGCTTGCCAAGAGGCCCCCAAGCTACCCCCAAGAGGCCCCCGAGAGCGCTCGTCGTCGTCGTCGTCGTCGTCGTCGTCGTCGTCGTCGTCGTCATTCAGGGTCGGCGGCACCGGCCGTAAGGCCTTCGCAAGATACAACTACATACACAAATCTGTTCACATATATACATATCAATATGCATGTATGCAAGATTCGATGTGCAATCTATGTGTTGCTATTTCTTTATGTATATACACATGTGGTGCAACACATACACAAGACATGTGGTGCAATACAAAGACACTCATGTCTACATAAATGTGGTGCAATATACGTGGTGCACAGATGCTGTGCGATCTATATTGTGCGATCTACATGGTGCCTTCGATGCAGTGCGATATGCGTGGTGCAACATGTGATGCAATGTACGTGGTGCAATTTACGCGGTGCAATGTATGTGGTGCAATATGTGTGGTGGAACGTACGTGGTGCAATATATTTGTGCAGTATATGTGGGGCAATCTACGTGGTGAAATTATGCGGGGCGGCGGCGAGGCGGTCAAGGGGTGTCGACGGCGACAACGTCGCAGCCAGGCGGACCATCAGGCCCAGCCGACGCAACGCGGCGGCGACGGTGAAGCCGCCAGGCCGACAACTGGGCCCAGACGCAGGGCGGCGACGAGGCAGCGGCAGGGCGACGACAACGACAACATAGTCACCAGACTGACAACCAGGCCCAGCAGACGGGCGGCGACGAGGCGGCGACGGGGCGGCGACGGCGGCGACCTCGCCGCCACACCGGCAGAAGGGCCACTTCCCGAAAACAGAAACAAAAACCGGACGTGAAAACACCGTCCCAAATATGTATATGTGTTCGCCAGCGCATACCCCCAGCAGTGGGCTGCTAGCAACTTCTGTTGCGTAATCTATGTGGGTCAATCTGCGTGGTGCAATACACGTGTTGCAAACTAGGTTGTGCAATCGATGGTGTACAGTTTACATTGTGCAACTTAGGTGGGAGAAACTCTCGGTTGTGAACCCTACCTGGTGCAAATTCGGTGGTGGAGTCCGACGTGGAGCAAAGTCTTTTGCGCAGTAGATGTAGAGCAATCTATGTGGTGCCGTTCGCCCTGCCGAACGTAAAATTGTCAACTCCATTGCTCGTGCAATCATCCCACCTGGCCACCTGCATGTTGGTTTGCAAGACCCACGCGGCCGAGGTTGCGACGACTGCTTGGCGCTGCTTGGCGCGTCGCTGAAGCCGCGCTACCGCGCGCAGGCTCGCGCGCAGAGCGGCCAGCTAGTCTGGCGCTACCGACGCGGCCGCGGTGGCTCTGACCGCTGGGCACTTCCGAACTCTTGCAGGGCGCACTGATGCGCGGGCAGTTCAGTGCGAGTCGGTGGCTCGGGTGGGCGCGGTATCATGGCGGAGCAATGACGACAACAAGGCCCTTGACGGGGCCGATGCTGATCACGCTCGATGACCGTGGTGGTGTCCGCGTGTCGGGGATTAAGGTTTTGGAGGCCTTTCGACATGCGCGAGCGGCCGACGGGCGCGAGTGGCCCGCATGTTGCTATTTGGCCGGGACCGTGCCTCCCCAGCACGCGCGCATGGGAAATCGAATGGTTTCGACATGCGCGCGCGAAGAGGCCCGTGTGGTTGCACATGCTGGAAACATGAAACGACATACGATTGTCTGAACAATTCGCACGATCGCGCGCGCAAAAAAAAATCAATGTAACAAATACATTGCATAACCATGTGTTTAGATGTTTTCGGAACGCGAGGCTTGGAATGCGTGGCGAAATGTATGATGTTTGAGAGTTTAGAGAATGCGCCAGCGACGACGCGCGCGCCCTTCGTCCCATCTTGCGCAAAAGGAATTATGGCAAACGCATGGTGATTGGATGTGGGATGAAGATTAATACATAATAGGGGTAACTATTAAAACAATATTATTTCAACGGGAGAAGGACGATTCAAAAATATGTATGTTACGCGTCGGCTTCGAATATTGTATTGAATTTCCATTTCACGTCATCTTCACATCCTACGTTAAATAATCATTCGACATCGACTTCATATTTTACGTCAAATACCAATCCTACGTTGGCTTCAAACTTTTGCGTCAAACACTATGTCTAATGCTCATTTGACGTCGGATTGAAATCCACAATTCAAGTCCATGTCCGCGACTGTCCGGGCGCGCGCCCGAGGACGGCAGGGGGGGAACGATTAAAAAAATAGTTTCCCGGCCCATGGCCGATTTGTTTCTAATCATCCTCCGGGGCGCCGCCGACGCAACATCGTCATTTACAAATCGTCATTCTACATTGAACGAGTTCGCGCGCAAAGTATCATTTGACGAGGACGACGGGCGGGGGCCACAGCCTAGCTGGAATGGTACGAGTTTGAAATTTAAATGAACGGTGGGGGCAACATCATGTGTAAACTGCACATCCCCGGACGGAGGGCGTTCGATCCGAATTCCTTAATAGAACGGAGGATCCAGGCTGCGCAACATACGTTGCGCCATTTAAGTCATGTCATATGTGTGGTGCAAAAAAAGCATTGCAACGCAAGGCAATGTAATGTAAAGCGACCCAGCGCAATGCAAAGCAACGCGAAGCAACGTATGCAGTGGAATCGAGCGGCGGCGCAGAACGGCGACGGCAGCGATGGGGTGGCGATGGCGACAACATAGCCACCAGACCGACACGCAGGCCCAAATACGGGCGGCGACGCGACTGCGACAGGGCGGCGACGGCGACGACATAGCCACCAGACCAACAGACAGGCCCCGCTCTTCAGAAGAGACGTAAGAGCCCCAGGGGCAACCACTTGCTGGGTAATCTGTACGTATACATAATTACACACATGATACGCTCACCCTCACGTTGTGCGTTCCACCGGGGCGCTCTTTAGACCAGAAGCCCTGGTAAGCAAACTACTGGGCCTCCGGCGAACTGCTGGGCCAATCCCGTACGCCGCGCGCGCAAGGGACCGTGCTGCGCGACAGGAGAAATGTCTACACAGCTCGCCAAGGACCGTTCGCAGTCTAGCACTCTCAGGTCTAGCTCTCGTGCGCGAAGGCTCAAGACCACAGCGTGCAACTAGACCGCTGAAAATAAAAGAAACTCCCTGCCTGCAGGGTGGGCCAAACAAACTATGGAAGATGTATTTCATCATCAGCGGCATCGCGCGCACTTAGGAAGCTAGCACCAACCCCCTTTTAAGTAATACCACCTGCTACGTTCACCCATACGTTGCGCGCTCCACCAGGGAGCTCTTTAAACCAGGAGCCGGGGGAACCAACTGCTGAGCCCCTGGCAAACTGCTGGGCCAATCCCTTACGCCGCGTGCGCGGGGGGCCCTGCTGCACGACTGGAGAAAGGCCTGCGCAGCTCGCCGGGGGCCGTTCGCAATCCAGCTCTCCAAGGACCCCATACTGGTCACTGCCGCTCTGATCAAACTAGTCCTCGAAACGGGCCCCTTGACACGGAGGAGGACGAGGTGAGAGGGCGGGACAGACAGGGCAAAGCGAACATTCTTCTAGCTGGCACTTTGCTTCAGCCGCAGTGCCAATGCCTGGCCTCGGCGCAGCTGCGCCACGGACAGGTTCAAGGTGACGGCCTCGTCGGCTGCGTCCTGGGCGCACAGCTGCGCCGTGCGCGCCAATGTCAGCGGCTTTGCAACAGCGTCTGCTCCATCGAGCCGCGGCACTGAAAATCAGCCGATGCACGGCCGCGGCGCCAGCTGCAGAGCACGAGCTCCGAGCCCTCGAAGCATAGCAGCTCGCGCACCACTGTCGTAGTAGTAGTATTCGTATTAATACTAGTATTCGCATTCGTATTCGCATTCGT